TTGTTTTTCTCTAATGGAACAAAAATGGAATAAATAAATGCAAGGAAAAAAATGTTAAGAGGTATAGAGTTAGGGAGGAAGTATGTTATATTTCTTATCTTGAACCACTGAACATGTGAAATTATTTCAGAAAAATTTTTTTGAACATTTATTTATTTTTAAGAGAGAGACAGAGTGCAAGTAGGGAAGGGGCAGAGAGAGAGGGTGGGGGGAGACATAGAATCTAAAGCAGGCTCCAGTTCTGAGATGTCAGCACAGAGCCTGAGATGGGGGCTCCAATCCACTTACTGTGAGATCATGACCTAAGCTGAAGTTGGATGCTTAATCAACAGAGCCATCTTGGCACCCCCAGAAAGTATTTTAAATAAATAAAAAATACATACTAAATTTATAAAATTTATTTAGCTTAAAGTTTTCTGAATAATATATGTAAAAGAAGAAAAATATAAGAATTTTTAAAAAATTCTTAAATTTAGGTCATAAGCATATTTCTTGCCAAAAAAAGAAAGTGCACCTGCATAAGTGAAAATTTATGTTGTTAAAAACAGATCAGGAAAGGCCACCTATCCTCATGGCCGTTGGCTGAAATAACATGGCTCTACTGTCAGACCAAACTAAAGTCAACAAAAACATTTTAACATCCACCAGTTTAAAATGTGACCTATGACAGGTTTCATGGTCAGTTTAAAATTGATAAGCCAAATGACAGCCATGTTTTCTAAATGATATCCTGACACACTACTCATCAACTATAAAGAGTATTAAATATGAACAAAAGACATACCATCATGTGGGTGTGGGTATGTTAATACATGCATATTATACAGATATACTCGTGCTGGTGAAGGTAGGAAAGTTATTTCTTAAGTTTCAAGGACAAATCCAAGAAAGAGAAATTTTAGGTAGCTTCTGTGAAAAGCAAGCCTAGATAGAAAAACTACAAGGGACTTTAGACAATTTGAATGTATGTTGTGAATGACCATGACAATGAAATATAAAGTTTACCTAATGTGTAATTCTGATAATCCTGATGACAGAAGAAAACAAAGAGGGAAACAAGAATCATCACAGGCAATTGTACCATATGATGCGAGGATCTTATCTATGTATTTGTAAGGAGGTCATACTGAAAACATAGATGGAAAACAGCAACACCAAATGAGTCAATCTGGCTTAACTGAATTGGAGACACTTTGAATAGTTTATTTTTGTTTTTTTTTTAGTTGATTTTTGAGAGGGGAGAGAGAGAGTCAGAGACAGAGACAGAGACAGAAAGCTAGCATGTGCAGGAGGGACAGAAAGAGAGGGAAAGCGATGATTCAAAGCAGGCTCCACAATGATAGTAGAGAGCCCTTGTGGGGGTCGAACTCACGAACGGTGAGATCATGACCTGAGCTAAAGCACACGCTTAACTGACTGAGCCATCCAGCCGCCCCACTTTGAACAGTTTTATTAGGCAATCAGCAATAAGATGTCACAAAGAATGGCTCTACTGGTACTGTAAAATAGGAAAAATGAAAAGAGATACTCACAGGCATAAATATTAACATCCTGTAGAGATTAAACTGATTTAAAGAATATTTATTTAATGTCAGTTATTTATTTAACTAATAATTTTCTGAAGTAGAAATTCCATTCAATAAAAATGAAAATATAAAACTTAAGGGAGGCCTACATCTGGAAATTCATAAACATTAAGAGGCAAGTGACAGTTTATTAAATAAGATGCTGACAGAAATGATCTGGCTTTTAAAATTACATTCTTAACTAAGAACACCTTCCAAAATAAAGGCAAAGTTCATGAATAGCTGTAGACAAAAAAAACATATCTAGATTAACACGGAAACGTTAGTGGACCACAGGAGAAGAGAACAGATGGACATCTCCGCAATATAGGATGGCTACGGTGCTATACTGCATTACAAGTCCATTAAACATCTGTGCCCAACTATGCAGGGTATATTCTTTTTTTGCCCTTCTTTGTTGAAAATACTTTTAAAAAGGGAGAAAAAATATAAGCTATGGCTTAAAATTGTGTTTTTTCTAGATTTTTGCATCTTTACCACTATATGTAAAAAAATAAATCAAAGATAGGATTCTATGCAGCATATTTTAATTTTAAAATGTTGGTTCATGAAAATGTGGCTTTAAAGTGGATTTAAAATAGTCAGCCATTTACCCACTTCAGCCCAAGTAGGAGTGTGAAAAATGTTGGATATTTTAGAAAGCATACCTGTCCTTGTTTAATTATACACTTGGAGTTTTCCAGCTACGCAGCTCAGAAATCCTACTAGATACACCCAAGTTAGGAGGGAATTTACAGGATTTAGAAGGTTCTATAAATTTTATTGCCAATCCACAAAGCTGACTCAAAACGTTCCAGCACAAGCCTACTTAAAAAGCTTAATGCAAATTTCACTAGAGAAAAAAGGCTATCCAAAGTTGACTGCCTTAGAATAACTGCCATAAGTTAGTGTCTAATGCTCTACTCAGTGCAATTAACACAATCTGCTAGACTTCAATGCCACTGATGCTTAAAAGGAGGACAGACAGTAAGATAATGCAAACTCTTAAGTTACACTTTTGTGAAGAGGGATAAGGCAAGTTCTTAACACGTCCCGAATACACTGATTTACTTTCCTGGGTGAAGGGCTTCTAAAAGCACCTTGGTTCCAAACAACTGGTTTTCATTTTAGATTCCAGTGACTCAGTATTGTCTGTGTTACAAACACAAAGAGATTATACCTGATCAAACCTCCAAAATGAAAGGTACCCTTTACATCAATTAGAGCCTAGGAGAACAGAAACCACAGGCAATGAAAATAGAGAAAAATTAATGCAGGAAGTTGGTTACACAAAGGAAATCATCAAGAAGGAAGTGAGACAACTGGACGTCAATGACACCAGGAAATAACTAACACTCTTAAGCTAGAGAGACAGAAGGAAGAAGCAGTGCTGCCAGAGTCCAGGGCCAGAGTCACATAGAGGACACTGGGATTATGAGTGGGAATTGGAATCAGAAAAGAAATAGCTTCTGCCAGCAATATAACTAGAGGCAAAGAGAAGCAAAGAAATGCCCTGGCTTCTCCTCTTCTGAAATCTTCCATGTTTCCCATTGGGTTTCCCAAACCCTGGGCAAGATGGCTGTCCCTGAAGCCTAGAAAATGTGACCTGCAGAGTTAGCTGTCTGTCAGCACAGAAGCAAGCAGGAGAAGAGTGTAAAAGGCACCTGAGGGCAAACAAGCCCAAGACCAGTACACCTTTTGAATAAAGTTCATATTGTAAATGTGACCATCTTATAAATTCACCTAATCAAGCCACTTTTTTGTTATTATGACAAATAGCTCTAAGATTTCAACTGAATATTAATATTTCTCGATAATCTTTTCAGATTTTAAAATGAAAATTTCTAGAATATCCATATCTCTAAGTAAAATCCTGCTAGGCAGGGCAAGAATTATTCAAATAGTTACTTAGTTATACCCAGATATGTAAAAATGTTCAATTGACAGGACAGGAAGTTCAGTAAAGTCTGTCTTTTAGTTTGCTTATAGCCTAATTTAGAATAATTTAAGAGATGCATTTTCCAAGAAAAATAAAATGGTTCCTAGAGGAATGAGGATGTCAGCCAACATTTAGTATACAGTGTTTTAAATTATTGCTGTGGAACTGACTCTAATGTGCTTATTCGAAAGAACCCTTTTGTTGTCCTTAAAAAGATGCTGGGTTTCTATTTTTAAAAATATTTTTGTATTCTATATTTTGAGATTTATTTATTTATTTTGAGAGAGAGAGAGAGAGAGAGAGAGTGCATGCACGAGTGGGAGAGGGGCCAAGGGAGAGGGAGAGAGTTTCTTAAGCAGGCTCCACATTCAGCGCAGAGCTCCTACAGGGGCTCAATCAAGACATGAGCAGAAATCAGGAGTTGGGACACTTAACCCACCGAGCCACCCAGACTCCTGAGCATACCTTGGATTTTTAATTACATATAACTAAATCCATACCTTTTCACTCAATTCATTAAAAAAATCAAAGTGTTGATACAAATTCTTTAGTATAAGACACTATGATTAAGAATTATTAAAAGCCAACCCTAGCATAAAAATAAAAATGAATATACTCTTTCATGTACAAAAGAGTAACTACCAGCAACAGTGACCATCAGTGATTCTAGAGTGAAATTTACTAACACATTAAATCTGAACATCCCAAAAGCTCCCTGAAATTCCTGCTATTTTGCTAGAATTGTTAGTTTATTCCAAATTTATACATAATTATAAATCAAAATGCATTCTTTTCAAAATTTTTTGATAAATTCACTTAGTGAAAATATATTATATCATATGATTTTTTTAAAGGCTTAAAACCTCTCCAAATGGTTAGAAAATCTTTATCTAGAAATACTAACTTGTCGTCATCAAATTGGCATATCAACAAGTCAAATAAGCTGTTAAATACCATTAGTTCCACTTTATGTACCTTTAAAAATAAACATTCTGCACTTAACTTATGATTTGAAAAGCAAATTCTAAAGCAACATGATATATTTTAATTTTATATGTTAATAACGCTAATAAATTCTATTTTATGTGATAAGGAATACTGACCACATGGCCAGACATAAGAAAGCCAGCACATTCAGTGTGATGGCAACAGTGGCGACATCATGTTAATTTTGACGAAACAGTCCTGGTAAGTTCTTACTAGTCCTCAGAGGCTTTTTAGCAAACATTTTAGGTCTTTACAAATTTACAAAGTAGAGAAACAATAATCCTTTATAACGAATTTACAAGAAGCTAATTTTCTCTTTTTAAAAAGATTATAAACGGCCTGTGAATAAGTACCATATCAGAATAAACTACCATAAAGACTGTAGCTGTTTTTAAAATAATCCCACTATTCTGCCATTTGTCAAACTTAATTAAATGCAGACAAACTACTTATGCCTTGTTTTCTTTTTTTTTAAACCAATAAAAGTATTTTTTTCTGTAAATACTTACCATCCACTCAGATATAATGACATCCACTTTTTCTACAGGAAGGCAAACTTCTTCAATCTTTCCTTTAATTAGTATAATAGTATCTTCAAGTTTATTTAGTCTGAAAATTATCACAATGAATTAAATTAGTACATTAAACAGATTCAGAAAACTAGTCAAATTACATAATTCCTTGGCAACTGTTCATATTCAAAGTTTGTTTCATGTTAAGTTCCATTATTCCCTGGCCATTAGAATTACTTTTGACCATTACATGAATGTCCAAGAATGTTTCTGATTAATATGGCAACACTCTGAACAAATATTAAACACTTCAGCTTGAAAAGAAATCTGAATTTCGTCAAGAATACATGTCAAAAAAATTACTGTTTTTTTTAAGGGAGAGGTGGAGTGAGACATACAAATGACACCAAAAGTACATTTTAAAGGCAAGTAGTGTGTCACAGTAGAGAAAGAACTAGAAACCAGAAGCTCTTTCTCTGAACTCCAGATCCTCTAGTAATTGTCAGCTAAGTGATCTTCATCAATTTTAGTACATGTGCTGCCGAAGCGAGCACTAAGCGACCTTTACCACATTATATCATAACCTCCCTAAGCCTGTGTGCTCATGTGTAAGAGAATACTTGCTCTATCTACTTCATAACCTAGTATGAGAATCAAGTATTTGTGAAAGCAGCACACACGTCCTCAGCACATATTTTCTCAAAACATATGCTGCATAAAACCTGAATATCTACTACAATCTTAAATGTTTTAATCTTGTCCAGTGACATTCATTAGATAACTTTATATGCTTGATCTAAGACTAGCACATATTTTTCATCTTCCTTTTGCAATTTGAAATAAAAAAGAGTTGAGATTATTTTAAAAAACCTAAAACAAGCTACAAAGTTGGTATCTAGTTAAATAAATAAACTCCCAATCCTCAGAGGATGTGCATCTGAATTACAAAGGATTTTTTCTGCTAATAAAAGAAGTCTTTCCTCAAACTCATTGACATATTATTTACATAAAATTAATTGCAATCATTTTAAGAGTAACTTTTGTTGAATTTAAAAAAAATAGAGATAGTTGAACGATCGCTATTATCAATATATAGAACATGTCTATCTCCTCAAAAATATTCACTAGCACTCACTTCCCAGAAACTTATCCTGAAGAAGCAACCACTGATTTTCTTTCTTTCCCTACATACTAGATTTGTATTTTGTAGAGTCTCATATAAATGGAATCATAACAAATGTACCTTTCTGTGTCTGGTTTCTTTCAATAACCATATTTCTTACATTCATTCATACTTTTGTGTATAGCAGTAGTTCATTCTTTACTGTTGCTAGGTAGTATTCCACTGCATGGATAAAACAATTTTGTTTATCCACACATGGATGGAATTCTGGAATGTTTCCAGCTTTGGTCTATAAGAATAATGCTACCATAAACATTTGTGTACAAGAAAAATTGTTCTGTCAAAACAAAGTGTCTAGGCAACTTTTAAAGAAACTGTCATTCTATTTTACAAAGTACATATACATTTTTAAATTCTACCAGCAATACATGTGTAGATTTTTATTGTGTCACATCCTTGTCAACACCCAGTATTGTAAAGCTTTTAGATTTTAACTATGTGATGAGATCTCATAGTTACCAATTGCATTCTTCTAATGATCAAGCATTTATTATGAGCTCATTGACCATACTCCCACATCACCTGTCGTTCCAATTTTTTGCCCATTTAAAAAAATGCATCCGTTGTATCTTATTATTGAATTTTAAGAGTTCTTGATATATTCTAGACAAAAACCCTGTGAGATATACTTATAGTGAATAATTCCTATCATACTGCGGCTTTTTTATATCTTTGAAAATTTTTTTATGTTCAAGAAAATTTTTATTTTATTTACTATTTTTATTTTTGAGACAGAGAGAGAGAGAGAGAGAGAGAGACAGAGTGTGAGCGGGGGGAGGGGCAGAGAGTAAGAGGAGTCACAGAATCTTTAGCAGGCTTCAGGATCTGTGCTGTCAACAGAGGGCTCAATGAGGAGCTGGAACTCATGAGTTGCGAGATCGTGACCTGAGCCAGAAGTCTGCCCTTAACTGAGTGAGCCACCTAGGCACCCCAGGCTTTTTCATGTTTTAATGGTATATTTGGAAGAGCTAGTTTTTGATTTTGATAATGACCAATTAATCACTTTTTTCTTTTGTGGTACATTTTTGCCTTTACCAAATCTTTTCACCTCTATTTTAACATTTTTGTTTCCATTTGAGTTAATTTTTTCATTTGGTATCATTTTTATTTTTCCCTCATATCAATACCTCACAAGGGAGGTATTTCTTCCAACTTTCTTGAAGAAAAAGTATCACTAACCCATAGGATTACTTTGGTATCCTTGTCAAAAATCAATTAACCATACATATATGTAGGTTCATTTCTGGCTTTCATTTCTGCCCCACCATATAGATAAGCATCCTTATGCTGATACAACACTTTGTTGATTACGATAGCTTTAAATTAAGTAATAAAATCTGACAGTGTATATCCTTCAAATTTATTCTGTCTTAAGAAAATTATTTTGGCTATTCTGGGTCATTTGGGTTTCTATATAAATTTTAACATCAACTCTTGGTAATGTAATGTTCTTTTCAGTGTTGATATCTTAGACACACCTTGTTAAATTTATCCTACATGCTTGATGATTTTGGTCGTACTGTAAATGGTATATATTTTTAAGTTTCTATTTCTAGTTGCTTGTGGCTACTAATAAAAAGAAGTATAATTAATTTTCATATTTTGACCTTTATTCCCATGACTGTGAAAAAGGTTTTAGTTTTAGCAGTTTTAATGGCTAATTTATAGATACCTTTTTTAAAAAAATATTAAACTCATTTATTTCTTTTTATAAAAGTATTATATTACTTTCAGGCATACAACATAGTGATTTATTTTATAGATTTCTTAGGACTTTACATGTACATAATCATGTCATCTGGGAGTAACAACAGTTTTACTTCCTTCAAATCTTTTATTTCTTTTTCTTGGTTTATCGCCCTTATTAGATTCCCAGGACAACAGTGAATAAAAGTGGTGGAAGTAGACATCTCTTGTTTTGCTTCCAATTATAGAGGGAAAATATTCATTAGCTATTATTATATATGACATTACTTATCTTTACCAAGTGAGAAAGTTCCCTTTTTTTTCCTAGTTTGCTGAGTTTTCCTTATGAATGAGTTGCAAATTCTAACAGTTTTTCTGCATCTATTAAGATGATTCTATAGTTTTCATTTATTTTCTGTTAGTATGATAAATTATACTATTTTTCAAATATTAAACCTATCTTGCTTTCTAGGATTAACTTTACTTGGTCATAGCTTATTATCCTGTTTATATATTGCTGGATTCAATTTGCTAATTTTTTATTTTAAATGTTTCCATCTCCTAGACTTACCATGGTGCTTATTTTGTAATGTATATAAATATTTAATCACTAAGTTATTCACCTGAAATGTAATACTGTATATTTTCTTCTTCAATTAAAAAATGTTTCCATCTATATTCATAGGGATATTCATCTGTAGTCTACTTTTCTTGGAATATCCGTTCAGGTTTAGTATCATTGTAATGGCAGCCTAATAAAGTAAGTTGCAAAAGGTGCTGTCCACTTCTAAGAGTTTCATATTACTTCTTCATTAAATGTTATATTTGTTAGTTGAGTCTGGAGTTTAATTTGTTGGAAGGATTATAACTACCAACTCATTTTCCTTACTAAATCTAGAGATATTCAGATTTTCTAGTTCTTCTTGAATCGATTTTGATAACTGATTTTTCAGAATATTTCTCCATTTTACCTAAACTGTCATATTTATTGGCATAAAGGTTTTCATAATAATTCTCTATTATTCTTTTAGTCTATAGGATCTGTAGTGATGTTCCCCTTCAATTCTAATATTGGTAATTTGTATCTTTTCTTCTTGATAATTCTAGTTAGAGGTTTATCAATTCTTTTATCTATTTTTTAAATGTTTTTTAGTGTTTCTTTATTTTTGAGAAAGAGAGAGCGAGCGAGCATGAACAGAGAGAGGGAGACGCAGAATCCAAAGCAGGCTCCAGGCTCTGAACTGTTGGCACAGAGCCTGATGTGGGCCTCGAACCCACGAACCGTGAGATCATGACCTGAGCTGAAGCCGGACGCTCAACTGACTGAGCCACCCAGGTGCTCCTCAATTCTTTTAAAAATAAACTTTGTTTTCATTAATTTTCTCTATTGTTTTGTCTTGTACTGCACTGATTTCTGTTCTTTACCTTTTTCGTCAGGTATATTTAACTTTTCTTTCTCTACCATATCTTTTAAAACATTAAAAAATTTTTTTAATTTAATTTAATTTTTTTTAAATTTTTAAATGTTTTATTTATTTCTGAGAGAGAGAGAGAGAAAGAGAGGCAGTGTGAGCAGGGGAGGGTCAGAGAGAGAGGGAGACACAGAATCCAAAGCAGGCTCCAGGCTCTGAGTTAGATGTCTGCACAGAGCCTGATGCAGGGCTCGAACCCACGAACTGTGAGATCATGACCTGAGCTGAAGTTGGATGCTTAACTGACTGAGCCACCCAGGTGCCCCAAAATTTTTTTTAATTTTAAAGAGAAAGAGAGAGGTCAAGCGCAAAAGTGTGCAGGAGTGGCAGAAGAAGGCAGAGAGAGAGAATATCTTAAGCAGACTCCAGGCTCAGTGCAGAGCCTGACACAGGGCTTGATCCCACAATCCTAGGATCATGACCTGAGCTGAAATCAAGACACTCAACTGAGCCACCCAGGTGCTCAATCAGTTAAGTGTCTGACTCTTGATTTTACCTCGGGTCATGATCTTATGCTCTCATGAGTTTGAGCCCCACGTGGGCTCTCCACTGACAGCATGAAACCTGCTTGAGATTCTCCCTCTTTCTCTCCCCCTCCCCCACTGGCTCTCTCTCTGCCTTTCTCAAAATAAATAAACTTCAACAACAACAACAACAACAACACTACAAAAGCCTAGCCAGGACAAAGAATATAATGAAAACATCTAGAATAGAATTAAATGAGGTTGCAGAAAGAGAAGAAATAAAAGGAACAGA